TTTCTCAGAATTGCGTGTTATAAAGTCAGAATTGCGTGTTATAAAGTCAGAATTGCGTGATATAAAGTCGCAATTGCGTGTTATAAAGTCAGAATTGCGAGATATAAAGTCAGAATTGATTGATATAAAGTCAGAATTGATTGATATAAAGTCGTAATTGCGTGATATAAAGTCGTAATTGCGTGTTATAAAGTCAGAATTGTGAGATATAAACTATTCTGAGGGGAAAAAAGTTAGTCTTTTTTCCCCCTTAGAATTGGCCTGATAACTAGTTTATATCTTGCTTATAGTTTATATCAGTTTATATCTCACAATTCTGAGAAAAGATGTCAGAATTTCGAGATATAAACTTGCAATTATGTGTTATAAAGTCAGAATTGTGAGAAAAAAAGTCAGAATTGTGAGATAAAAAGTCGCAATTCTGTCTTTTTTATCGCAATTGCGACTTTATTTCTCATAATTGCGACTTTATATCTCGCAATTGCGACTTTATATCTCGCAATTGTGACTTTATTTCTCAGAAATGCGACTTTATTTCTCAGAATTGCGACTTTATATCTCGCTATTGCAACTTTATTTCTCACAATTCTGACTTCATATCTCGCAATTGTGAGATAAAAAGTCGCAATTATTTTTTTTATTTTTTTTATTCAGTGGCGGAAACAAGCTTCCATAGTTTTCCTGTTAGGTGTGAATACGTTTAATGTCCCAGACAACCTCTGTAGTCCCACTTGTTAACAACTGCCTAAATTTTGCCCATAAGCAACAAAATAAAATAAAATAACGGTTCCCTAACAAGTGCAACGAAAAGGCATTTATAGACGTTACTGTAGCATATCTGGAAAGTACCATACCAAACACATTTTCATCGGAGTAGCCTGATAATAATATCTGTAAAGTAACAGGCCACCCAGATCCAACACAAGAGTAGTATTAGTAATAGTCAAAAATTGTCCGAGCAAGTTACAATTGGGACTTTGGATGCGGAAGCCATCTTCTGGCGAGACGTGGGATTTAATTTCACACAACGATCACAGTGCATGGACTTTCTCTAGTAGCTAGCTGTTCAGTATGGAAGCTTGTTTCCGCCACAGAATGAAAAATAAAAAAGGTAATTGCGACTTTTTATCTCACAATTCTAACTTTTTTTCTCATAATTGTGAAATATAAAGTCAGAATTGCATGATATAAAATCGCAATTGCGTGTTATAAAGTCAGAATTGCGAGATATAAAGTCAGAATTGATTGATATAAAGTCAGAATTGCGAGATATAAAGTCAGAATTGCGAGATATAAAGTCAGAATTGATTGATATAAAGTCAGAATTGCGAGATATAAAGTCAGAATTGATTGATATAAAGTCAGAATTGTTTGATATAAAGTCAGAATTGTTTGATATAAAGTCAGAATTGTTTGATATAAAGTCAGAATTGCGAGATATAAAGTCAGAATTGATTGATATAAAGTCGAAATTGCGTGTTGTAAAGTCAGAATTGCGAGATATAAAGTCAGAATTGCGAGATATAAAGTCAGAATTGATTGATATAAAGTCGAAATTGCGTGTTGTAAAGTCAGAATTGTTAGATATAAACTATTCTGAGGGGAAAAAAGTTAGTCTTTTTTCCCCTTAGAATAGGCTTTATGCCGAGCGTCACGTGACCAAACCGGAAAACAGGTCTCATTGCATCCGCTTGTCAGAGAAAGTGTTAACGGCCGTAAGAACTAACTACGATATCTATGGATTTTTAAGGTAATCAGCTAACCTACTAAGTTCACTTTGTTATTGGTGTTTTATGCTATTTAAATATCTAAACGTTAGTGTGAAGAAGAAAAATGTAAAAACTTTTAAATATCAATCTGCACATGCGAGGGACATTGGTTATGCTCATTTTTGCTTGCTCCTTTTAAGTTATCTTGAGTAAAACCGCAAAAAAATTCATGAAGCACATACAAAAGACCTGAATCGGAAGCGATGTGATCTGTTTTCCGGCTTGGTCACGTGACGCTCGGCATAAAGCCTATTGGCCTGATAACTCACAATTGCGAGTTTATATCTTTCAATTCTGAGAAAACATGTCAGAATTTCGAGATATAAACTCGCAATTATGTTTTATAAAGTCAGAATTGCGAGATGTAAACTCGCAATTGTGAGAAAAAAAGTCAGAATTGTGAGATAAAAAGTCGCAATTCTGTCTTTTTTTCTCGCAATTGCGAGTTTATTTCTCAGAATTGCGACTTTATATCTCGCAATTGCGACTTTATTTCTCAGAATTGCGACTTTATTTCTCAGAATTGCGACTTTATATCTCGCAATTGCGACTTTATATCTCGCAATTGCGACTTTATTTCTCAGAATTGCGACTTAATATCTCGCAATTGCGACTTTATTTCTCACAATTCTGACTTCATATCTCGCAATTGTGAGATAAAAAGTCGCAATTATTTATTTTTTTATTCAGTGGCGGAAACAAGCTTCCATAGTTTTCCATAGTACATCGGTTATACAGTGATTATTGAGTTGCACAGTAGGATGGAATGAATGTACTTTAAGTGTATAGACCTTAGTCATGTTAGACGCCATGTTGAATTTAATGCAGATGAAAACAAGGCTGTTAGGGATAAATGTACAGTCTTTAAAATGGCATACTGCATAAAGGTCCTAGGTCTCGTCATTTTTACAACTCATGACTTTCAAACTTTTTTGTCGTTTGACGTTTTTGTCTGCTGAAAGTTTTTATTTTCAAAAAGACATTGTATCAGCTGAAAAATCTGATTGTTGTTAAACAACAGTACAAAAATTAAAGGATTAGTTCACTTCAAAATGAAAATTCTGTCATCATTTACTCATCATCAAGTTGTTTCAAACCTGTATGAATTTCTTTCTTCTGCTGAACACAAAAGAAGATATTTTAAAGAATGTCGGTAACCAAACAGTTGATGTACCCCATTGACTTCCATAGTAGGAAAAAAATAGAATAAGGTCTATAGGGGGTGGTTTTAACTTATAGTAGTAGACAACGTAACTTTTAGGGATGTGCTTTGTAGTTCTGCCGGACACAGACAGACCTTTCTCGTATTAAATGTTGTGTGTCTGAACAACATGCAGTACTTAATTTTCCTAAATCGGAATCATTTGATGAATCATTCAATGACTCTCTCATAAAGACATTCATTTATTTTGTCCCTGAATGAATCAGTGTGTTTGAACAAATCGGTTGATTGAATGAGTCATTGACCTTTAGTTAAGTCACTGAAAAGCACCACCACTAAGCTTATCCAATTTAAATTCAAGAACCATATCTAAATTTTGTATGTTTAATTTAGGAACATTTTCCTTCACCAGAGGTTCATTATTAGACTGCTGTTTGTCCACACTTTTGTACACTACACTCACACAAATAGATCCTCTGCATATTAAATGTCAGCAGCATCAACCTTAGACATCACTATTTTAGCTCAGTTCAGCTTCTCTGTACTGTAACTCTAAACCAAAGCCAGTCTTGTGTATTCTTCATGACTTGACTATGACGTTCCTTTACACACAACTCTCGTAAACTCCTTGACCCTCCATTCTCATGAACCTCTCATCTCTTTCTCTGTCTTAACAGTCACCAGTATGAGTACTGACCGTCAACCCCTGCTTCTTCTGGCAGCTGCTGTTGTAAGCATCAACATCTTACTGCAAACACACACCTCAATTTTCTTCTCTTAACACCCACCAAGCAAGGCCAAGGGAGAGAGAGGTGTATACAGACAAAAGGGAGAAGCAAAACAGCCAGTGAGGGGATATGCATGTGATGCATCAGCAACCCTGCGGTGAAGACCACCTCTGAGCAGTTCCCTTCATCGAAGTGAAAACTGTGATCAAATACAACCAAGTGTTCCTTCACCAGCTGGATATCTCAGACATAAAACAACGTGCCTCGGTCCAACATAAATACATGACACCCTTCAGACCCTGAAAGAATCCAACTCTTTTCTTTGGCACAACATCTAACCCCAGAAACCAAAAAAAGAAAACTGTCACTTTGAAACGTAGTGATAGAGAGACAGCTACTGAATATTTCACAGCCACTAATGACAGATTAGCAAGTATTACTTATTAGATGATGAGAATCACTGAAGAGTGAGAGCACATGTTGCAAGAATGGATGATAATTCTCAACACGTTATGTTGTTTGTTTGTTTTTTATTTAGTTAATTTGATGAAATGCATATCCTCTCCTTCTCTAATTCTCAATATGCCATTTTGTTTGGTATTTAAACCCCTTTTTGCCATATTAAAGTAATGCTGAGATCAAAATGCCAATCAACATTTGCGTTGCTTTGTATTCCTTTGGATAAATGAGTGAATGGCGTTCCATACCAAAACACAAATGTTCTTGAGTAGCTAACTTTTAAAGCATCATTTATTTAAGCTGTATATAGTAGGCCATGTTTGATGGATGTGAACACTTTTGTCCTGTACAATAAATACTCAATGTACTGTATGAATCACTGACATAAAGTGAATTTTTAGAGTCATCAACTCCATTTGCAATTTAGTCTGGCAATATCACCCATACTTGACTTGACTTGATAATGATGGTGATGGTATTAAAGAAAGATTCAATGATTGTTTCTAATCACTTCACACATGACACCACAGCTGAACTATACTGCATTCCTGTAGGTTTGGGACAGCCATAACACCATGGCAACTTATGTAGTCACTTACTGTATGTAGTCAAGTGACCAAACCCTTGATGTCCATACTCACTGTAACAATGTTTTCTTATTCTATGGGTTGTTTGTTTGTTTTTAATCTGATATGATTTATTTGAGAATAAAGTGAGCAATTCACATTGATTCTGCTTCTATTCATAGTGCATTAGTCATGGCTTCTGCAGCAAGCCAAAGATAGAGAGCGCGCGAGAGAGAGCGATCCGGGTTGCTATGGCGACCGCTTGGGAGGCGGTTCCTTAAATCCCGACTTGAGAAAAGCACATATTGGATCAGGACCCTGTGCTGGTATGCAGTCACTCCAACCAACTGATCCGAGTGCGTAACGCCGAGCCCGTTTCGTATGATCTTCTACTGGATCTTAAAGTAACGTCTGTTTTTTAGGGAAATACAGGGATATTTGTCTGGTCACTCGGGAGGATGAACTGGAATTCCACTGGTAAGGATCTTAAGGGTTGTGCGGGGAGTCTCTAACGCAGGATTAAACATGTGACATAACTTACCCACATCAGCTAAGCTTACTATAGCAACCCTGTTGTCTATTGGTGATTATATCGTTCATGCAATTTTATTAGACCACCAGCCGTTTTCAATGGCAGTTTTACATAGTTAGCGTTAATGAGTGGGCAGTAAAGGCAGTGTTTATAGTAGCTAACTACTGTATCCTACAGTAACAGTCTCTGTTTGACTCACGCTCAGATTGCGTCCACTGCTTCAATAGAGGGTATGCGCATGACGTCACCGTCGGCCGGAGTGAATGCGGTCACGCCCACAAGTGGCAAAAAGACTGAGCGGCAGCATTTGTTTTCAGCGTGAATGCCGTGAAAATCACACAAAACAAATCTAAAACGGGAAAGAGCTTTGCGATTGACTGTACAACTAGATTTGACCAGAAATCTGAGGTACTGTATATTTTTACAGACTGCAAAAAGCTACAGAACAGACTATATTCTGCATAATTGGATGTTTTTAAATAAACACTGACAAAAAACTACACAAGTTTTAGGGCTGGACGATATGATGATATACAGTATAACATTAATGTAAGTGATCACTCGGATTTAGACCTATCTATATTGTATTTATATAAAACGTTTACAGGCAAATTGTCTTCATTTATTTCCCCGGCGTCGAAATCAGGCACATATAAATGTCAGGAAACACGATTCCTGGCTGCATGTCAATATCCATGGATCACTGGATCTATAAGTTGTAAGGAACACTATATCGAGTCCAACTTTTAGTTTAAACTGATAATAGTTTGTTTTACTCGCGTTTTCGCAGTTTCCCCTATTAACTCCAGTCACGCAGCAGCTCTTCTGCCACTCAGTCCCGCTGAGGGGGGCGTGTTCCGGCGGGGAAGTGACGTTAATGCATTCCCTCAATAGGTAGCAGTGCATTACTTAATTACTCTGACTTTAGCCAATGTGCATTCCTCCATTCCCCATGAGTCAGTTCTCTCCTGAAATTTACATCACTACAAACACTCTTCGCCGTCGTCATCATTATCGGCATCATCATATTCTACTTCTCGACCATCTACGGACTCGCTAAAACTATACGTCATTGGCTAGTACATTTTTTTTTTTCCTCGCCAGACTTTTTACATGATGAAATGCAAGAACAATGCAAATTAAAAAATTCTACATAGGCTACATATAATATAAAATATACATTTCAAACACTATTAAAGACAAGTAACAGTCTGTAATAAAATAAGAACAAATAATCAAACTACAAGCAATTGCAGAAATGAACACAATAGAACAAAGATGCAAATTAAATAAACAGTGCTTTTCAGGTAAATGTAACACTACAGATTAGGTACAGAAATTGAATAATCAAATGAAAAGAATTTTTTTTTTTTTTTTGATTAACATTAAAAAATAGTTTATATTAAGACATAGCCTACTGCACGTCACTTTGTAGGCCAACTGGCAGTTATCATCACACTGGTTCTCTCAACAAAAAGGGTTAGGGTTAGGCCTTTTTCCATAGGCTTTTGGATTATCCCAAAAAAACAAGCTCTGTGATTAACAAAAGTTTATGATACTTACACTTTTTGTCCATCAATGTAATTTTCACAAATGAACACAACTTTTATGAATTTTGAAGAATATGCAGTCCCCCGAAGTAAAAAATCTAAAGCTAAGCTATAAACGAACTACCACAGTCCCCCGACTTCAACGTTTTAGTTTTTATCTAAAAACAATTTCCCATAAAGTTTGAGTTACAATAGTTTACAAGAGCACAATTATAACTAACTATTGTAACTCAAACTTTATATATGCTTAACGAGGCTGTAAAAACGGACTGAGTTTACCTGTTCACCATGATGACGTTTAATGTCCCCGACAGCCTCTGTAGTCCCATTTAGTTTGCAACCGAGGGCGCTCTCAGCCACGTGATAGTTATCAAAAACTTATTTTTTTGCCTCTTACTCAATCACAGGTGACTAAAATCGTACAATTTACTAGCCATTGGCTACTTAAAGACATTTTTAGTCGCCCAGAAATTTGGTCACAGGTCATGTTGCAGGTGTTATTTCATAGTTCATAAAATTTGAAAGCAATATAATTTTGCCTTACACAATTTTCATACATAAAACATAAAATAAATGACTTGAAAAGACTGTTCCGTGACATCCACTCAATCATTTTTGCTTTTGTGGGAGACGTAACTTGGAGATGAAACTCCATTTTCTGAAGGTTGGAGATTGTGGAAGTCTTTGAAAGGGTCATCTGCATTTCTCTTTTTGTCCAACCAAAATCCAAAGCTATAATGTTTTTGAATTATAACATTCATCCTCAACCTTTTGAGTCTCAGTGTACATTACTTGCTAGTAACTCTACTCTAGTTGACCGCTGTCCTACTTGCACACAACTGATACTGAAAGATGAGACAAGTCTAGTTTATCATGTTGTCTTTGTGTTTGCATGAGCAAGACGCAAAAAGAAGTTCCCCTAAGTTGTCCACATTTTACAGCCTAATATAGATTATTTGATGAAGCTGAAAGTTGTGTACACAATCTCAGATATAAAAAGCATTAGTCTGATTAGGCTTAGTCTTCTTTAGCTTTGTTTCTAGCAAACTGTGTTTGTCTTTGTGACAGTTTGGCTCTCTCCACCTTGGGGCTGATTTCTCTTCACATCTTGATCATGTCTCCAGTCTACTCGCCCCCCAAATACACCAATGGCTCCACCCTCTTAAGCCCATACAGTTCCTATGACCCCTGCGATCCCACCCTGGGATATTTTGTCCGAGGTCAACCCCAGCTTTCCAGGTATGCTCCTTCCACCTCCCGCTACCTGAACCCCAGCCCTTGCCTCGCCCGAGGCGTCCCGTTCTTTCCTCAGGAGCCTGAACGTGGGCAAGCCGTTCCCCATTCTGAGTCCCACATTGGCCGCCGGAGTGAAAGCTACAGTAGGATGCAGGTTAAAGGTCCGATTCCTAGAATTAATTGGCAAAGGGGCCGTTCGCCTTCTAGGACTGGACATATCTGCACATCTCCCCTATCAAGGCAACGCAGGTCGGTCAGTCAGTCAGACCTGATGCGGGAGCTCGCCACTCTGGAGATCTGTGACCAAGGAGCAGTGTACACAGTCAAAGAGAGCACGATTAGGGGACGGACAGATTACTCAGGGCCTCTCTACTGGAGCTCAGAGGTGAGTTTGATTATTTTGTACACTGACAATAAACATTTAAATACTGGGTTCAACATAAGTTAAGCTCAATCGACAGCATTTGTGGCATAATGTTGATTACCACAAAAAATACTTTTGACTTGCTTGGCAGCCTGTCCAGACCTGCATGGATAAAAAAAGACAAATTTAATGATGTCTCTATAAACTTTTATTATTACCAGTACTCGAAGTGGGCCAGTAAGCAGTACCGGTACTTCTATATTTTAATCTCTAGCGTGCCATTTCCCACATGTTGCCGGTACTTTGCCACTCAGAGTCAAAGCGTCAGTGCAAGCAGGCAGGGCCGTTGCTAGCGGTGCGAAAGGTGGTGACGACATCCCCCAGATCTCTCTTCCCACACCACCCAACCCCCCAATTTTGAGCTTAAATTGAATTGATCATATTTATTGTCAGTATATTACTATCATCTCTGTTCATAAGTACTCAGTGCTACGATACTGATTTAATTCTAGATCACATTTAGCATATAAAGTATGAGCTTGTAGGCTGACACTCTCACACCTTCACTTCACACACTTGTGCAAGCACACTTGAGAATAAATTAGATCAATGAACAACACCACACTGCCCTTACCCATGTGGTCTGTGTAAGCACACACATATAAACATTATTCATTATGAGTATACGGTTCAGCCACGTTTTATCACTGTAGTTGTGATAAAATTGATATTGCATTTTAATAAAATATTGTATGTATTATGCTACAATAGGTATTAGGCTATATTACAGTGATGCATCATAACTGGAATAAAGACATTTAGTCCGACAAAGTGAAGCACAGCTCTAATTACTAACACCACTATTAGTCCTGTAATACTCAGATTTACTCTCTAGAGTGCGCTGTTTTTCTCTTTTAATTAAAGGTGCTGTGTTTAGCGCTATATTTAGTGGACAACAGCAATACGAATCTTTGGTAATAGTTAAGATATGGAAATGCATAAATATGATACAAGCCAAAACAATTCTACACATGCATTGTAGTACATAAATGTGAAAGATCGAATGGAAAGTACATGAACGATTGGCTTAATACATTTTTTTATTAAAAAAAGTAAGAGACACTTAGGCCTGGTTTCACAGACAGGGTTTAGATTAAGCCAGGATTAGCCCATAGTTCAGTTGGGACATTTAAACACCTTTTATAAACATGTCATAGAAAAACACATTGTGCATCTTGAGACAAAACAATGGCACTGACATATTTTAAGATACGTCAATGCACGTTGCTTTTAATTAAAACAGCTCAAACATGTATTTTAGTCTGGGTAGTCAGTAGTCAGTAGTCTTGTATTTAAAAAAAAAAATAGTAGTAGGCCTATGTTAAGTTTTTGCTAAAACATTTCCTTTTGTTAAAACTGCACTATTTGCAGTTATGCTTTTAACCCATGATTACACTGCAACTGAAAGTGTTCTATAAATGTATTAATATTCAGCTGGTCACATGATCTCAACATGGCAGCCACCATGAGTGGCAATCTCACATTCACGTAAAATAACTTTTTTTGGCTACTGATATGATTGGAGTCTTCATTTAATGTGAGGGTATATCATTTTACATAATCTGCCAAAAGCACTATTTCCTTTTACTTTAAAGTAAATTCTAATTTTTATACATAAGCATTTAGGTGATTATATTAGACTGGATTTGTCATGGCCATACAACAAACTGATCCATGATCAGGTCTAATAGACTCTGGCTTACCATGAACTTCTTTATAAACTGGCTCTGAGTTTACAACTGATTCTGAGATTATTCATTTTTCATCTGACATAGTGCCACAATGATTGCTCTCATAGTGAGCCAGAGGTCTGTACAGTGCTGAATATAATTACGTGTCCACAGTAGCAAACCTGTATATCAGCACAATTTCATGTTGTTAGCTTGGACTTTGTCATTGTCAGGCCTATAGCGTATTGTCAGCCAAATCAGGGTGTTACATAAAAAATGTGCAGTTCCAGGTGCAGTTCTGCTGAACTCTGACTTTAGCTTATTTTCGTTCCCATTCTCCTCCGGGCGTAACATAACTAGATGCTTTGAAACTTAATCTCACCCTTTTTCTTTTTTTTACACATTTTTCAAACATCAATAGATTTCACCATGCCAGAAAGTATGTTTTTGTTTTTGTTTCTCTTCTTCATTCCATTCCCATGGTCTTGTGGTATTGGGAGAGGCTGTTAAAGAGATTAAATGGTGTCTTTATGACCTGTCTAAATCCTCATGTGTTGACACTAAAGTTTTGTTGCCTGCCATGTGTGTTTAGGTTACATAAGTATCTGCAATCAGGTTCAGTGTTATTGTAAGGATAAGCAGAGCACTGAAGTACTTGTACAGAGAGATACGGCTCATAATCTTATTAGTTTATTATTAAGCTGTATTATTTTGCATTATCTTTTAATAGAGTCTTTATTTCATAATTTTATACAAGTTTTTGCTACTTTTTTATTGTAAATTAGTTCTGAATTATTTAAAGATAACAACTGCAGCTCTGAATGTTCTTTTTCTTACTCAGCATATTGCAGATTTCACTATGGGAATGAAACCAAAATGTAAAAGGTAGAAACTATCCTCATTATTCCTATATTATCTTATATTAATGCGCTTAATTAATTCATTAGTATACCGTTCATGCGAAGCACAAACACACACACACACACACACACACACACACACACACACACACACACACACACAAAGAGGTCGTAGATCATGCTGCGTGCACACCTATTTTTTACAGTCTATGGTGCACACACAAACATTCAGGAGCACAGAAAAATCCTGTCAATGCTATTTCAGCGTGACATTTATTAATAAAGTGGTAATGTATGTTTTTGATGTAATTAAACTTGCAGGTTCTTTATTATCAGAGAGATATTGTACAGATGCAGATAATGCATGCACAGCCTCTCTCTCTCTCTCTCTCTCTCTCTCTCTCTCTCTCTCTCTCTCTCTCTCTCTCTCTCTCTCTCTCTCTCTCTCTCTCTCTCTCTCTCTGTCGCTAATTCATTTAACCCTTATGTTGTGTTTGGGTCATTTTGTCACACAGGATATAACTACATTTTCCAAAATTTGGGGGATTTTTCCCCCCACCTTTTTACACGTGGTGTAGGTCTACAAGCAATTGCTTATTATGCTTTATTATCACTTTTTTGATAAGGCCAGTTTTTGTATTTCTTTTTGGAACTGATTGATCGTAGGCCTCATTGATCTGGGCCGACCATTTTTGACCGGGAAAATATAAACCAAAATATCAAAATCTTAGGTTTACCTTAAAATGCTGATAACCACCATGATAATAAAGGTGGTACAATAGAAAGCAACTTGATGAACAGAGAATATAGACCATACACACAGGTACACAAAACACTATCAGGGTAACACACATTACAATAAAATGATGCAAAAAATATCAAATAAAATCTAATTAAATAACATAAAACGTAACACAAAACACCCTAATGTAGATCACTGATAGCAAAAAATAAGAAATAAGAACAAAGCTATTTATATATAATTTAATCATTTAATTATTATTAATTATTTAAAAATTTAATCAGGGACTTCAGGGGTTGTCCTTTTTGTGTTTTCAAATTATACAGTAATTCTAATTTTTAAAAAATTTTAAAGCGTACAGATGTTACCACATAAAGCACATTTTTAAAGCGATAGTTCACCCCATAATTTACTCACTCTCATGTTGTTCCAAACCTCTATGTCTTATTTTTGTCTGCGGAACATAAAAGAAGATGTAAGGGTGGTTTGCACAGGGGTTCAGGCTGCAGGATTGCCGAATGACTAAAGAAACGTTATCAGCAAGATGGTAGAAAACTGTACATTTCTTTTCGATTACCGCCCACTACTGCTACTTATACCAACGACGGAAATAAGCAGTTAAAATAACAAAATATGTGGGAGAGCATTGCTATAGTGTGACGATATTGTATTGCAATAGGTAGCAGATTAAATTTAATACTGAATCAAAAGCACCTCATTTGTAATTAAAAGGGTTTAATGACAAAATGGTTACCTGAGAGAGAGAGAGAGAGAGAGAGAGAGAGAGAGAGAGAGAGAGAGAGAGAGAGAGAGAGAGAGAGAGAGAGAGAGAGAGAGAGAAAGAGAAAGAGCCAGAGCAAAAAAGCCCCATTGAAAAGAAGAGCATAGAGAAGAAGAGAGCTAAGAGCAACGTTCAATCTTCTTTTATCCCTTCCTTGACCATGTGAAAATGTGAGACATTCAAACTGATCAATCAGATAATTACAACTTCCCCCACGGTACTAAAGGTGTACTGATGTTCCAAAAATGCCAGATCAAGAACGACAAGACAACTAAAGACCGCTGATAAATGATCATTTATCATCGGACTTTAAGCATTCACAGTAACAAAAACTACTATTTAAGAAAAATACCGCTGTTAGGAAGACGGAATATGTGTTTAGCTATTTGTACTGTATGGCTTTAAAGTCAAGCCACTGAGTGAGGTGATCCATTTCTAATTTTGTTTTTGACAGTTTCTGAAGAAAATGTTGTCAGAATCCAAATCAAGGTCTATGTGTGTGTGTGTGTGTGTGTGTGTGTATGTGTGTGTGTGCGCTTTGGGGACAAATTTGTACCCAGAAGTGAGCTAAACCTGACAAAAACTCCCAATACCTCCTTTTAGGGACATCCTCGGCATAAAAATAAAGTAAATACTGTTTTTTTCTTTATTTTTTTCTTCTTCTTTTTTTAAAGGGGTCCTCATGATTTTTTTTACTTTAGTTAGTGTGTAATGTTGCTCTTTGAGCACAAAGAACATCTGAAAAGGTACGATGTTCAAAGTTCAATGCAAAGGGATATAAAGGGAAATATTTTCTTTTAAAATCACTTTTTAAGGACTACAACAAATGGCTGGTAGGGACTACAACAAACTTATTCCCGGGTTGGTGACATCACAAACCCTAAAATGTACATAGACCCTGCCCCCGG